TCTATGGAAAAATCCTTTCTTTCTTGAAAGGCCTTTCTTGGTTCGCGACTTGAACACCATGGCTACCTACAAGCCCCACATAGAACAATCAGAGGTTTAGGGTACGTGCTTTAAGTGATTTCAGTCGCAAAATGTATGTTTCAGTGTTAATTAACGCTCCACAATGAGATATTTACCTCTGAAGACGTGTTTTATGCACTGAGACCGAAGTGTCATTCACTTTCGACGACAAACAACGCAATTGCAGCCACCAGTGGCGACCGGCAAAACAAACACGGCGCGCGAGCAGCAGCCGACCCGTTTAAAAAAGATTGACCCCAAGAAGTTGCCAAAATCAGCCCGGAAGAGCCCCGGAGGCCACGGGCAGTCCCGCACTTTGTCCGCAGCCATGCCGGACTGTCCCAAATTCAGTCCGTCGCGTCTCCGGGTCACCCCGTGATCAGCCCGGCCCTGGGTGTCGGGGAAACCGAAATCTGCCCGGGGACCTCCGGCGCCCGGGCAACCCCAGAATCTACCCCATGTGCCCGAAAACCCGGAAATAGCCCCGCTTAAGACCGTCGCGGACAGGTCGCTGGTTGTCTGAACATAATATGGACAGGAACATTTCACGTCAGGATTGATAAAACTTGTATACTTTAAAGTTATAATAGCAAAATATCAGAGGCATTCTCTATCTTTAAACAAACAAACGAATGATTTGCACTATTTTGTACATGGCGCACGGGAGTTCAATCTGATATATAAAATTTTGTATAAATTCATGTACGAAATCTTGGATTATTTTGCAAAAAACTGTACGTAAGAACACAAGATTTTTGCATGCCCAGCGGTATTGAACAAAGTCCAACGTCTTCATTTAATCGTTCAGAACGCGTCATTTTTCTATGTTGAAGGTCGTTCGGCATATCCTTAACAGAGCCCAGTACATAAGCGAAGGCATTTCCCGAAAACCGCGTCGCGATGCGCCAATCGGTTCGCTGTGAAAGGCATCATTTCTGTAAAGACTGCGCATCTAGTTGAAGGACCCTT